TTTTTATTTAATTTTGTTTTTCCTCCCTGCACATTTTCGGGTGGAATTCTCTTCTCCAAAGAAAAGTTACTGAGAGGGCCAGAGTGACGATGCAAAGCAGGGATGGGAAGGGCAGAATTCTTCATGGAAGAGAGCTGTGATTTATTTTGGCCTAATTGTAAAGTTACTGCAAATTGCTGGAAAGCTTCCCCCCCCCCCCCGATCTGGGTGATTAGATTTTCCTTCTTTTGGGGAGGGGCGGTGGGGGGAAGCTAAAAGGGGAAATAACACCTCTAATCCAGCTTCTGGTAAATAGGCTGCCAGCTTTTAAAATGAGTTTCCTTTCTATTAGTCAGAATATTATGCTAAGCCTTAAGCATTAGTTTTTTATGTTGCCATAGCAGCCTTATTCCTGCAGGGTTGTGACCTGCGATGATTACAGTACAAAGCTTATAGGGTCTTGAAACCCCCTTTGAAGATGAAAAGTCTTTGATGGTTTATATTTATGCAAATCTCTTAGATATGATTTACCCAACTGAGACTGAATGGAGAGATGATTAAAATTCCCTTTCCTTTGATATCCATTAATAGTCGAATATTCCTTAAATTTAAAATATATGCATATGTTATTTTTGTCTTTATTTACTAACATATTTTCGCCATACCTGCGATACGTTTATCTCCGCGCAAATTACTTGATCTGGACAGACATAATAGATTTACAATATAGGGGTTTTTTCCCCCCTCCTTTTTTTTTTTTTTTTTTTTCTTCCCCCCTTTTGAAAGGGGAAAAATCTGTGCAAGAGCTTTTGTATGTTTCCAGATGATAGATTTTGGAATTTGGGCTACCCCACTGGCAGCTCAGAGCTAGCTGTGAACTGGTCTCATGGAAAAAATTGGCAAGCTTTGGTCTTCAAAGAATTAAACTTCCTTTTTAAGGCCTTCCTAGGTAAGCTAAAAAATTATGAAGAAAAGCCTATTGAACAAAAGGGTAACGGTGCCGTAATGAATAATACGGATGCCACTTAGAAGGCTGGGGAGCGCTTCCAGTGATGGCAATGCTGGACCTGAAACAAAACAGGACCTCAGGTACAGCAGCACTTCGTTGTTTTTCAGGGCCCACGCATTTGCATTTCACTAAGCCAGAGTGAGAGGTGCTAAGCCTGGATTTTTTTTTATTTTTTTTTTTAATTTTTTTTTTTTGTTTTGCAAACCGGCCTCCAAACTTAGAAATCTATGGGAATGCTGCGGTTCCAAATGGCAGGCCTTGTTAAAAGCTGGTTTAATTTTTTTATTTACAAGTTTTTGGGGTAGGGAGGGGTGTCGTTACAGCCAGGTGAAAATTTAACGTGCTATATATACGTGTAGACTGTTGGGGTTTTTTTTCCTCTCTCTCTGATAGCTTGTACCTTCTGGTTTTAGTTTTCAGACAAATTCTTACATCACCTAAAAGGCCGAACACTTGTAGAACCAATGAATTTTATCCCCTTTGTGGAAACTGCAGTGGGCTTGCTCAATTTTAAGGTAAGCAGGTCTTGAAGTGTTCATATTTTGCCATCTCAGCCAACTAGGATAGGCTGAATACTCCTCACTCTCCCCCTAATTTCATCAAGGAAGAGAGGTTAAAAAATACTAAACATACTGTTCAATCCCCTGAAACATTTCTGCGTTGAGCTTGCACATTTGCATTGTAAAGGCCTTCACAAATTCAACGTATTTCAGTGACAGAACAGTTCCAGGTAGTCCATGCCAAATAACAAAACCTCTCTGCATTACTGTTATCATTTTTATCCCACTTGGAGTGGAAACGGGCTTCTCCGAAGATGTGGAATACTCACAGTGTTGCAATATGCTTGGCTATTTCATAGCTAGCCAACTCGACTTTTGTATACCATTTAATTAGAGAAAAGAATTAATCATCATTTCATTGTTGCTAAACTGGCATCTTTGTAATGGTTTCTACTGGTAACATTACAATCAAATTTCATGTTATCGTTTTTTGGTGTGTATGGTGGGGTGTTTAATGTTAAGGTAAGAAGTATAATTAACTTTGAAAATAGGAAATATCTGAGGAACGTGCTCCTTTTTGGGGGTAATTTTCGATCAAATCTTATTTCTAAAGTGCATTTTAGTACAAATTGCTCCCCAACCTTTACTATCAAGTTCAGAAGGGGGAAGCAGCACCGTAACGAAACGGAAGATCTCGTGCCTGCGCCAGGAATTCAGCGTTCCCCTCCCAAGCTCTAAGGGAAAAGTTTCGGACCAGCTGAGGACAGGCACACATCAGAAGTACGTCCAGGCAGCCTGCTCCTTTGATACAGCCATTTATCTTAGGACACACGCTAACGTATCTGGGAACATAATAAAGCAGTAACCAAATAGACACGCTCCTGTCCGGTGTGCCTACGCAGTATTAAATTGTATTTTAAACTGGCTGGGGTTTTTCTTCACCTGCGGTATTTTATAGTGGAATTTTTAATATTGTAGTTCCCGATGCTGGTGGGAGAGTTGCCTTTTAAAGCGCTCTGTTAAAGAATAATTTCTTGTCCCGTCAGGTGCCGAAGGAGAGCACCCATTAGTAGAGCTGGCAGTTACATCTCTCCGCGTACCTTAGCCTTCAAAAATATTAATATTAGCCAAACATCGATATAAAACAGTAATATTTTGGAAATGCGCTTCTTCATAAAATAGCTACAGCAGCAAAAATTTTCTTGCTTTTCTCATGGTACTTTTCTACAGCACTTGTTGCATTTTTAATTTCCTTTTAGCTAATTTTTAGTTATATGTAGCAGAAGATTTTAAATTGGCAGTCCTATAAATCCTTAAAGGATATAAGGAATCTACAACCGTTTTAAACTGTTCATATTAATTATTTAATAAAGAGATTCAGATCTTTAGTTCTGTTTCTCGTGCGGGTATCTCAACTGTCAAACTAATCAATTTTAATACTTTTTGTTTGCTTTTAAGCCTTATTTGACAGATGTTTTGTTTCATATTGTTACATAAGTACCTGAAGGAGTGATCACGTTAATACCCAGGGCTTTATGTCAAGCAGAAGGTAGGGAATCTGCTACGATAGCCTGTATTTACACAGTCTAGGCATATAGGTGCTTAGGGAAATTTTCTCTTTTGCCGAGTCATTTTAAAGCGCTGTGCAGAGTCGAGCACCGACAATGGCTTTGCTTAATAGGAGCAATTTTAGCTGAAGGATTTTTGGTAACAGGGAGTTGCTGTGATATCCTCGGCAGTCTCTCTGCGTCCTGCATTTCCGTAGAAATTAATACTCTGTTCTCGTTTGAAGGCTGTCTGCGAAGAAGCACTGAGAACAGGATCCCAGGTTGGCTTTCATTTGGACGCAGTCGTCTTTGGAGGAGAGGATTTCCGTGCCAGCATAGGTTGTTACCTGGGTGTTTACTATAAATGTGAACGTATGGCATTTACATTGCAGAAGCGCGATGTGATTTATGGCCGTTGCTTTTCCGACAGCAATAATTAAAGTAATGACAACACTTGGTTCTGCGTTTTACGTTTTCGCTTTTCTCCTTTATTTTTTTCAATGCAGAACTGGCAAATTAAAACACGGTCCCTGTGTGTTACAGGGCACCGACACTTTCTTGTGCTTCTTGCCGTGCAGTACCAAAAAATTAATGAAAAAAAAAAAACCAACCAAACCTACTGAGTCACTGAAATGATTTAAAAAACATGATATCCGTAAGAAACAGGCACATGCTTTTAAGAACCACGTTTAAAGTCCTGAAATTCTGGTGTCTGCTTCATTGCTGTTTTACAGACAGCTATCAGTCAGGTTTTTGACATCATGCACAAATACTCTCCTGCTACATTTTGCTTTCATAAATTTACTTTAAATATGTCCCCTGTCAATACAGCCACATATTCGCGTGAAAGCACTATTAGCCTTTCTCAAAAATAAAAAGTATTTTGCAGTTTCTTTTGTAAGAGTCCGCTTGGCTTCTTATTAATCGGATTCAGTGTAGAGATGAAAGTGCAGAGCAGAGCTATCAACATTTAAATTAAAAATAAGTACGTTAATGTAAAAATTAGCATTACTTTACTAAAGTATTCCTTATAAACTGGAAATCTGTGTCTAAATGGTGACCCTAAGGAAAGGGAGTTTTTTAATTTTATTATTTATTATTTATTATTATTATTTA